ATTATGTCAACTGATTGCACTACCTATTCAGTTAGGAAAGAGCACAATCGGAGACATTGTGGTTGCTGGAGAATTACATCGAAAATAAAATTACATTATTCAGATGTCGGTTCCTGAAATGCTAACATCTAACCGGCGACCACTCAATTTTATCGTCAGGATCGATCAAGAAATAAGAAACGGAAACTTGTTGAAATACTTTGTTTTGAGAATTTTACATTGTACCAAAATATAATAATAATAATAATATTTATAATCGTGTGCTAACTAGTTATTAACTTCAAGAGGTAAGTCATACGGGTTCCAGTAGAAAGTCATGAGTGGTGAAGTTCGACCACATCGGGGTGAGACGAATATCATCTACCCGTTGCAGTGCATGATGGTTTCGCATTGCTACAAATTGAGTAAAGGGTGATTTGTATGCCATTGGTTATGAATTCAGTGGTCTGAAAGTTAGAAATTCATCATCGAACCTTAAGATCATGAGCTCGATCCCTACTGATATTGTGGACGGTGATACAACTACCGAGTGATTCCTCATTCGCAATCGTTGTCCAACTAAACTTTCTACAAACACCCTAAATCAGTTTCGGATGGTTAAACTACACACTAATATTTTAAATCTTGAGATGATCGAAGTTAACCGATTGACATATTCTGAAATTGGATGGATGCCTGACAAAATCTAAGAATATATGCAATAAACAACCTCGAATTTTGCAAAATCATTACATCTGTTGAGCATCCTAGATATCTGATCATCTGTCAGTCGACGACCAGATGTACTGAGCAACAATTCTGTCTGTATCCCTCTACGGTCGTTAAACACCTCATTTTAGAATAGAAGACATCCGTGAGAATTAAGTATTTTCTCACTATAGATAACTTCCAATCATCACTCATGTTTGGAGGAAATGTCAAGTTAGGAATGTTGAGGTCAGATTTGGAATAGTGTGTTGAAATAGTAAACTAATCCAGAACACTTTAAAATCTCATCGACTTGTGTGATTGGGACATGTTTGTGAATAATTAACCACTGTCTACCTACACGTACAATCTTAGTCAACATAGAATTTAGATCAAAACTCGTGATGATTGAATCACGGGATTATATCGAAATGATTGACTCGTGAACTGCACTATGGACGCTACATATATACTTCCAAATCGCAATCTGCGAAATAATCAGCATTTGTGATTGAAGATTTTGACGATCAAATCTACTATTATCAATCTCCACTGTCGTGTCACATTCATTTGTCACCACTATTTGAATTTCACATGGAACCCTATACAACACAAATCACTGTTCCATCTTCCTCGTTTCAATTCATCACTGTTCATACTATTTCTCTTCCTATACTTCTCAAGTGTTTCATTTTGTGACACTGTCCTAACCAAAGGAGACAGACTTGTTGATTCTTGTCCATCCTCCGATTCATTTTACCAACTTTCTCATTCTTATACTCACCTCTCATTATTTTTCGTTAACTCTTCTCATCATTTTCAGTGATTTTGAATAATTCAGTGTTATACTCAAATGGTTCACATTTGTTTGTTGTATGGATTTTGTTGTTTTCAATGACCGATTTGAAAGCTCATTGTTTTCACAAGCTAACAAGTGATCAATATAATTGATTCGTTGGACTGACTAAATAATATGTGCGATAAAATAGAACTGAGGAATCAGTGAGAAATATTATCAGACTACATGGGTGTGTATTTCACTTTTCATTGGTGCCGTTGCTCTTATCCAACCAGTTTATCACTACAGTTTACATAACAGAGTGATTGCAGTTAGAGAACCATGATGTCAGTAAATACCGAATAGCTCGTTTTTCTTCGGAATCGGTTTCAAAGAACTCACTAAACCATTGATTTTCAGTCATTTCGCTTAAGCTCCCCAACTAGGTAGTTTAAACTTTCACGTACGGTTCAGACCAACAGTCTTCAACTTCAGATAATGATAATTTATGTCAACTGATTATTATATCTCCAACGTCGTGCATCGGGATGGATGTTTATTAGTCATGTGTAATAGGTGTCTCACTCCCTACACCAATGAAGATTTTCTGTCTCATCAATTCGCTTGTTGACTTCATCTATGCCCTCAGCCTAACGTCAGTACTGATCACTCGAGATATGTATTTTACACTTTGTAGTCATTAGTGATCAGATAGAGGTAATCTACTCATTTCTTCTATTTTAAAACCCATGTTTCATAGCTATAAAGTAGACCGAAAAAGTTGTTGCTTGGTACACTCTTCCTTTGGTTAATAGACGAACGTCTCGTTTACATCAGAGGTGATAAGAGTTGACAATATCCTTTTAATGAATATACGAGTATTTACCCGTGTCATAAGAGCACTTGACAAAAAATGAAGTGACTGATTTTGTAGATAGTAAATCTGTTAATAAGAATTTGAACATTCTCTAACTGATGTGTATGAAGCAAGTGTGTTATGAACACCTAACTACCGATTACTCAAACGTGTAATCCTTGCTAGTATACGAGTACGTTTGAAATATAGATAACACAAATTTATTAATGCATAGTGTATTGGTTGTTTGAATCTTTCCATTGACGTTAAGGAATGCAGTTGAACAGTCTCTTATTGGCATGTGTGCACCCTGTGAGGACTACCTCGATATTGCCCTACGCCACAAGCCCTATAAACAGATGGAAACTCACTTCCTGGATTACACTGCTAACCACCGTCCATTACAGCTAATAAATTCACAAAGTTTCTGGATGTTCGTCTGAACAACATATAGAAGCGTCGCCATCCTGGGTAATGGGTTTTGAGATCATATTAACCTATGGTTGAAGACAAACATTTCCTTATCTTCATTCAGACTCGTATATCTATACACATCGAAAAGTTTCTATAATTTCCAATCCCATGTTTGTTTTCGCGATGCAACTGCACACTCACTAGTGACTGTCACTTAGAAATTAATCAGTTTTTATCGGCATCAAATCATTAAATGTCTTATGCAAGATACGCCCATTTTAACTATTAGTTTAATCAATTAGTCGATCAGAATATAAAACCTAGAAGAAATATGTATCGACCCTAATCACTACAATTCACCTCGAAACTGCACAAGAAAGGAAATCAAATAAATGAAAGGTGAAATAGTGGGAAAACATTTTTAACTACAGTTAAAATGATGATTTTGATAGAAAAATGAAAACTATGCGATGATATCGAAACACAAGTTACCAGTCAGTCAGCTACAACGTAGGAACAGACATATATATGCATCGATCCAAGTTGACATACCGCATTAGCACAACAAGATGAACACCGGATTCATACGATTACTTAGGTCAATGGTGGTAATATATAAAAGAAAGATTGCATATAAGGATATAGTACAAGAAGAAAGAATTAGTATATAGAAAGAAAGATATGAAGTGATTTTAATCTCATATTTTAAGGGAAGACAGAGAGTGTTTACACATACGCCATTGTGATCGATTGTGAGCCATGTCATCCAGAGTCTCCAATCATTGATTACGATAGTAACACGGACCCCAACTAATTAGTCTGCATCTACCAACATGGCTCAGACTAGAAGTTAGTGACTTTGTGGATTGATGCCACGTTTTGGTTTGGCCGCCCCTAATTCTCTTCCAACCATCTCTAACACCCGTTAGCATTGCACGACGTGGTAATCGGTGTTCGGGCATACGTAACACGTGGCCCAACCATCTCAGTCGATGAAGATTAACAACCTCATCAACTGATTTACCATCATTCCCTAATACTCTGCGTCTAGCCTCATTATTACTTACCCAGTGATCCCAGAAGATGCGAGCAATATTTCTAAGACATCTGTGGTCAAATATTAGTAGCTTACGAATATCTACTCAGCAATATTATCATGGATTCTAAACTATGCCAGGCAACGTTTCCGATCATAAGAATAATATCATTTCGTGAATCAACCAGTCGGGAAATTTACACATCTCTAAACAGTTCAAATTATTAATCAGTGACTTATAGTTGTATAAAGTCAATGTTTAAACGCTTCCCTAACTACCATCATATCTGTAATCAGTTGAAATTCGAAGTATTGTCTTGTGAACTTGATACTAAAACACAAATATTTGAATTGTGAAATTTAACCACTCAACTAATCAATTAAATATTATGAATAAAGAGATAAATAGGATACTTCTAGTCAATTTATTATCTTTGAGCCATTTACGGTCATGAGTAATATATACGAACATATCTGATGAATTGGCTTTGTTCACAGTATCTGTTAACCAGCTCCATAGTCTAAACGAAAAACAACCTAAACAATACAAATAGAATTTATGATTAATAAGAGTTTGAACTAATCCGTTGTTGATTATTTATTATTTTATTTTATTTTTATTTGAACACATAAATATTGGTACAAGAGGGCACCAAATATATATGCGCCACACAAAACAATGAGAATTTAAGGGGAAGGAGAAAAAAAAGAGGTTGATGTAAGGTGGTGTAATAATAATAATAATAATAATAATAATTGGGGAAACGGAAAGGTACAATCGAAAAAAATCTTTCAGTTAAGGAAGAAACAACCATTTTTTAAATGAAGAAAGTAAAGGAAGGTTACAGCAGGATCGCCGCTGGCTTTTATTTTGAGCCATATCTGACAACGTCTCTAGCCACTGTGTTGCACCATCTCTAGGACCCCAACCAGGGGGTCGTGAAGGACCGACACAAGCCAGTCCTTTGCAGATTTCTTTCATTCCACGACACCATGTCATGCACTGACCACCTCTCCGCTTCTTCCAACCAGTCCCAGAGTCGGCAAATAATGCGCGACGTGGAATTCTCTGGGACGACATTTGTAGAACATGTCCAAGCCACCGAAGTCGGTGTTTCAAGATGGTGACACCGATTGAGTTATCATCTCTGTGCCCGAACACACGATGCCGAACCTCTGCATTACTGACATGGTGTTGCCACTGGATGTCAGCAATCCTTCGGAGACAGCGATGATCGAACACAGAGAGTCGTCTAACGTCCTCAACTCGGAGAGACCAGGTTTCACAAGCATAGAGCAAAACTGCTCTCACCGACGCGTTGTAGATCCGACGTTTTACAACCAGACTAACATCACGAAGGCGCCAAAGATGGTCCAGATTGGCATAAACCGCTCTGGCTTTCACTATACATGCATTGATCTCATCACTCACGCCACCACCAGCACTCATATAACTACCCAGATACACGAACTTCTCGACTATTTCTATCTGCTCCGTTGTTGAAAGTTAGGATTGATGGAATTTCAATTTAGGAAAATTTGTCACAAATTTCTAACATGAATAGATACTAATATAATTATAGAAATATTCTTTTCATTTATATTGTTGCCATTCATAATTCATATAATGAAATCGATCAAAAATAAAATTACAAAACTATCAAGGATATTCTATAAAGCTATGAATCATAGAAAAGATCGAGAACTAGGTGAAATTTCTTTGAATGTAATGAATAATTATTGGAACTCAGTGAGAAATACACAAGTTTCCTATACCTCTTTTAACAATAATTTATAAATGACTTATAAATAGACATACATATATATATATATATATCAGACGAAAAAATTCGCTAAAAATTTCCTTCAGACACACTAGTCATTTATTTGGTTTTGGCAATATACAATTTTAACTAAGTCCCATCCCCATATGTTAAGGGGTTAGAACAAACACTGATTATAGACGAGGTAGCGTGAAAAATTAGAAAAACGTTCGCCAGTACTCGAGGCTGATTTTTTTCATTGAGACTTTGTGTTACTGAAATACTTTGTTTTGTCCTAATTTTTCATTGGCTAAGGTACCCCAATGGTTGTTGAGAGAACCATATAGAGACACGTAGCGGTTGGTGTGTCTAGTTATGTGTGTATATTTACGACAAATAAGCCTTGACAGAGAAAGAGAGAGAAAGGAGGGACCACGTACAATGAATTTAGCCTGATCCAAGATGGCTCTCTCATTTTATTTGTCTCTCATTCACTAGTTGTTTTCATGTCTGTAACAAACATGCCCGAAAATTAAACAACAGGCTCCGCGGCCTAAGTGCGGTCATAAGCTCAGGTTAGTAAAGCAAGAGACCACGCTCTATGATTGGTTAAAATTAACTAACTTAGCATAAACCAATCAGAATGATAAACTCCGACCTGCAGTTCGATTTACCGACCTTGGTTTTTCTTTCGTCCTTTGTAAACTAGCTGTCACTAAAACATAAAGAGGGTAGAGAATAGAAGGAGAATTATTTGGACCCCTCATTTAATTTTAGGGCGTGAACAATTTTATTTTCCCATTTACAGAGAAAACTAATCTGCCTTATCGCCCCGCGTGGGTGATACATGATAACACTAATGAAATGTTCGATTTTTTAAACCGGTTAGATACCCTCACATGAAACCAATGATTGTAGACTTTCTATGCTTGGATTTAACTGTTATTATTTTTAAACAATATTTCAAATATCCTGTAACTCGGATTACAAATTAGCATTTGGAGTTTCACTAAAAATACATACAACTATATTTGTGGATATTATAAATCTAAATCACAATCATGCTTCATCGACCTACTCTCATGCCTGCATCAATGAAATCATCTTCAAAATTCAAATTATCTACTAATTCAAAACATTCATCTCAATCAAGTAAAATAGAAAGTCCAGAATTGATTCAACTACTTAACTGTGGTGATGATGATGATGAAATAGTTATTGTAGAACCTACAGATCCAGATGAAGATCGTATGAAACAGGAAGATACAACATTTGCTGATGTATCAAACAAAGAACAAGAAGATTATGCGGAGGAAGATTACAATGGGAATGATGGAGATATGAATTCAGATGACTCTCATATGAAAGGTGAATCTCACATCCCAGTGTCAAATATTAAAGTGGATGAAGCCACTGGAAATGCAACTCCAGTGACCGTAACCACAGATTCGGTTAAACCTATTGGAATTTTACCTCTGAATGATGTGATTCACAATTTACTCACATGTACACCACATGTTGCTCCCACCATACAAAATGTTGCACTTCAACCTATACTGTCGGGTAAAATGAATGGATCGGGAAGTGTGCAAATGCCGAATGTTGTTTCCAATGCATTGCCTACATTGTGGCTTCATTCTCCTGTTGTGAATTCAACGGAAATGATGAGTATGCCTAATGTGAATAGTGTGACAGATTTGGCGAGTAATATTGTACAGAATAGTGGGACTGCACTGAATCCACTTGTTGCTGCTGTGCTTGTGAATTGTGCCACAGTGAACATGATAAGTCAGCTAGCTGGATCTATGTGTACTCCGCTGGTGAACAGCAGTATGATCGATGGTAATGTTAATGGTAGTAATGTGAACAACAATAGTGAGCACACTAGTAGTGCTTGTAGTGTTAGTAGTGGTAGTGTTGGTGTTAGTAGTGGTAGCAGTGGAGTCAACACAGTAACAATCCCTACAGCGTCATTACTTCCCAATTTGTTATCTGCCATTCCGTTGTCTACGTATATTTCGGGATTAGGACTGAATACAACTGGAGGTATAATTACTTCACCAAATAGTTTGTGTAATGTTGGTGTTACTAGTACAGCTGTCTCGTCTGCTGCAACCCTTAATAATAATAATATTGGTGGTATGATTGTGACACCATCGAATGTTGAGAATATTACAGTTTCTTTATCATCTGACCGAAGTTCTAGTCAAGCTGAATACTTACATGTTTCTGACGATAAAAGCACTCAGCGTCCTGCTGGGCGTGTAAAACGTTTCAAATGTCCTATGGTTAATTGTCAAATGTCATTTCACAGTAGATTTAATCAAATGGAACATATACGTACACATACCGGTGAGCGTCCATTCACCTGTCCAGAACCTCATTGTACTTCAACATTTAAACGTAGACGTGATCTTCGTGATCATTGGAGTATGCATCTCTTAGATTGCCCACCATCAGCTACATTGACTGAAGAAGAATTCAATAAAGCATTGAAAGAAGCTGATGAAAAATATAACGCAATGTATAATTGGGAAACGTTCAATGTAAACGCTTCAGTTAACAAAGATAATATTACTGGTAGTAGTAATAATAATAGTAATGACAACAATAATGATGTAAATACTGTAAAGTCCGAATCATCTCAGTCATCCGTGGTAATTCCTGACCCCAGAGCACTGTTTAACATTAAGTCTGTTAGTGAATTGGGTAGATATCATTGTACATATCCTGGATGTGATAAATCGTATGCTAGACGGCATCGCTTGAACCAACATATATCAACACATACTGGCACTGGTCCGATACCGTGTGATGCACCGAATTGTAATGTCAGGTACTTTTCAGAAGAGGATTTAAAGAGGCACAAATTATCTCATCTTTATGCGGCTGATAAGGATTCACGGCGTCGACATGCTTGTACATATGCTGGATGCGGTAAAGCCTATTCAAAGCTAAACAAACTCAAAGAGCATTTACGATCACATACAGGTGAAAGGCCCTACGTCTGTCGTGAACCTGGTTGCGGTGCTGCATTCATCCGACTATACGGTGTTAAACGTCATGAATTAACACACGTATTCGGCCGTAAACGTGCTGAAAGACTGTCTCAAATCCCTAACACTAATAGTATGACTGGGACTAGTTTTGATATTTCTGACCCAAGGTTGGATATTCAGAACAATCCAGAAATAACTACTAGTTCACCATATATCTTACCAAAGCCGGAACCATTGGAAACAAGAAATGAGATATCGATAGCACCAGCTGTTATGAAAAATCGTCCTCTCCCAGCTATTGCACCAAAATCGAGTGTATCTCTTCCGATGCGTCCGATTTCTCCTATAAGTGGGAATCCAGGAATGAGACGACCACATATCTGTCCATTTAAAGAATGCGGTAAAGCATTCCCAAAACTGAATAAACTGCGTGAACATATATGTCGACATACAGGTGAACGACCATTTGTGTGTGATCAGTGTAAAGCTTCATTTGTCCGTATGTATGATTTACGTCGTCACAGCAATATCCACATTCGTGGTGCACAACCAAGGAGTTTGTCACGTTTTCTCACAACTCCACAACAAACAAATGAAACACTTGAATCTATTGTCACAAACAGTCAAATTTCTGTCAGTACTGCTCCCAATACTGCTACTATTACTACTACTCACACCACTTATACTACTACTAATACTACTAACATTAATACTATTCCCATTGTTACTACGACAGTTTCTGCAAACGGTCTTATTTCAGATACTACAAATTCCACCATCTCTACTGTTCCTGTTTCGATCAGTATTCTTAAAGTTGGAGAAGAGTCAGAACTAATCAAAATGGAAGAATTTATTGAACAATCAACAAGTCTACAACCATGTGATACTGATGATCAGGTAACAGATTGTATTGATAAATAATGTCACTCACCTTGGATCATTTGATTTTGACGATTATTTAATATAAATGGAATGATCGATAACATTTTTGTACAAAAAATTATCCACTGTTAGTTGTCGCTGACGATGCAGTAATAATGATTGTAGTTGATTCATTAATTTGTACTGCTTTTTTTTTCTACAAATGCCATTCATTCATTAACCAACCAACTATTTGTATGTTCACCAGTTATTAGTATTATCATTTTTTTTGGTATTTCATGTGACCTTGTAATTTCATTGACTTGTTTTTCATTTGATTTTATCGATAAATTAATGTCTGATTTTAATTTCTTGCCTATCATAAAGTATTGATTATTTCTTGATTCATTTTTGACAGTCATAACTGGTTTCTTACTGATATATATGCATTACGATGTCATTATTTCTTGATATCGTTTGGAATATTTCACAATGTGAGAATCCAACCATTATGTAAGTGATGTAGTCTTCAGCAACTTGATGTAGTTTCATTCAATTTGTAGGTTGTATTCTTTTTAGATATATCTTAATTGGCGTACCATTGGAAACGAAGGAGTACTGGATAACAGTTTCATTTTAGTATGGGACACCTCGACAAAACCCATCTACGACCTCATTAGATATAGGAGGCGTAACCTTCAAATCTTGTGATGTATGTTTAAAGATTAGAATTACCAGGTTATCGTTAAGTGCTGTGGTTACGACTTCAGTCAATTTTCTAGTGTTAAAATTATCTAATGCTATTTGTGTAAAATCCACAAACCCTGTACAAAGATGGGTAGTGATTGTGTATAACCTTATGTGGTGTTGTTATTGATTTTTAGCCTTTGTCGATCTCTTACGAGTTACTTTGGTTGGATGACTCATAGTTTATTGACCTCTAGATTGGTTCATTTGTAATATTTGTTAAACAGATGACCTTCCTTAATGGGTGTATCGTATCTAATGTGAATAATATATGGTCAGGACTTTGGTTTTTAAAAAAAATAGAACTTGGTATTTATGCTTAATGCTTTTATGGATACGTACACGTACAATGAAGACATTTTAAATTATTGACATATCACTGGCAATTTACTACTTTGTAACTCCTCAAGCCATAGTAGAGTATTTTACGGAATGAACAACATAAAATTTTAAAAGACAGTTATGGGAGTGGGTGAGGTGGCGCTTCTATATGACTCTCGATGATTTTTGACGTAAGAAACTTTGAATCTACTATTCAACAATTGAAATTCGAGTTATTTAACTTCAGTGAACTACAGCCCATACATTTATTCAGCAGTTTTGTTTACTTTAAATAATCTTAAAAACATCATGGTGTATTGCAGGAAAAAATACTTCGAAGAATTCAACAATAAGTTCCCTTGTATAGTCTTGTTTTCCTTTATATTCAGTTTGTTGTGTAAGTTACATTATGAAACAATTTTCTGGAGTGGTTGAAGGCAGTCTACAGGCGACCCCTAGATTTAGGACTAGACAAAGATTGACCAATACGTAGTGATCAGACAGTTCTACAGGAGGTCAGTTACGGCCCGAATAACCCAGTGGTAACGTCTTAGATTAAGAAACTGGGTGACAGTTTCAGATCCACCAGTGTGGACCTGTTCCCTCAAGATCCCACATATTCCTTGGTAGCTATTACTGGCTAGTATGCAACTTAGGTCAAGTGGGGTTTTTACTGCTGACTATCTTCGACGACCTAACATTTCGGCATAGTGCATGCGATGTTCAGTCGTTTAAACTAATGATTACATTGTTACTTGGTCTATAACACTTGATTACCATTAGGGAATAGTTAAACATGACATCGGTCACTAGTCAGTGATCAGTTGACTGTTATTCAGTGAGTTTCATAATATTAACTAAACAATTACATTTTTTTCAAGTTTTTCTCTATTATGATTCGTCTGGTAGTTTCAAGTACTTTGACTGTTGATCGTGAGGTTCTATGGCAGTGTTTGTCACTGAAAGGAGTACCAAAGAATTACATTATTCTTGTAAAGGCTCTCTACTCGAACACAACTGGTCGAGTGAGAGCTTATGGCGAACTGTCATCAGAATTGATTACCTCAAGTGGTGTTCGTCAGGGCTGTCCACTGTCTCCATTCTTGTTTAACTTTGTCATTGACGTGCTTTTAGAGATAACACTTTCCAGAGGTTGAACTTTATTAGGAGATTCACTTGTTGACTTAGAATATACCGATGACATAGTTCTGTTTGGTGAAGACGCTGACAACATGCAGAGTCTTCTGACCACTCTAAGCAACAATGCAAGCATGTTCGGCATGTGATTCATTCCCTCGAAATGCGAAATGTTGCTTCAGGATTGGGTTGCATCGACACCCGAACTAATGATAGGGAGTGAAGTAGTTGAGCGTGTCTATCGCTTCACTTATCTTGGAAGTCTCATCAGCCCTTGTAGGTCTGGTGTGTGACGAAATCTCAGCACGGATACAGAAGGCTTGACTAGCTTTTGCCAACTTGCGTCATTTATGGCGTAGGCGAGACATCCGTCTATCAACTAAAGGACGTGTTTACTGTGCAGCAGTTCGTTCCGTCCTACTTTATGGCAGTGAAACATGGCCGGTAAGAGTAGAGGATATCCGTAGGTTACTAGTATTTGATCATAGGTGTCTTAGAAATATTGCTCGTATATCCTGGGACCATCGAGTAAGTAATGCAGTTGTTAGAAAACGGGTACTAGGTAAGGATGGCAAATCGATTGATGAAGTAGTGAAACTACATCAGTTGAGGTGGCTGGGACACGTGTTACGTATGTCCAACGACCGACTGCCTCGACGTGCTATGTTCAGTGGTATAGGAGTAGGTTGGAAGAAAGCTAGGGGCAGCCAGACCAAAACATGGCACAAATCCATGAAATCACTTACAAGTGGACTGAGCCATGTTGGTAGGTGTAGACTACCTGGTTGGGGACCGCGAGATGATAGCAACCGATGGTTAGAGACCTTGAAAGTGACATGGCTCAAAGTCGTTTGCAATGGTGCAGGTGCATCCACTCTTTGTGTCCTTTCAAATTCTAATCTTCTGAATTCTTCATGTCCCTTTTTTCCTCTTTCCAAATTTATTTCACTGGATTATACTCTTTAAATAACATCTCCAAACCCTAATCTTCCCGATTACTGCTTATACTCTTATTACCTCTACCACTACGGGATTTGAATCGACAACTGCATCTCTGTGTTAATGTGGTGTGGCTACTCGAACTGATGTACGTACGTACGAAGTTCTACGTTGTTACTGACTGACTGACTGATTTAGAAGTCGATGACGTTTGTCTGAACTCCATCATCACTTAATTATCCAATATTTCAAATTACTATTCGATAAGTATGACTTCAAATGATTGGGACTTTGTGAATGAGTGTTAAAACTGATTAATCATTGTACAACGTAAAAAAAACTAGTTCAGCAGACTGACCAACTATTCTATATAAGTACTAGTATACAATTCTAGAAAATTTCAACCTCATTTTATCTACATTCTTATTTACCAGTACTAAATAAAGTATTTACATCGGAAGAACGAAGAGGAAAGCTACCATATCGAAGCACATCCCACAACAGTTGAAATTTCAAAATCGTCCAAAATAATCAATACTCAACCCACCTCGAATTTATCAGTGGTTAAAACCGAATCTATGCATTGCAAAAAATACTGTTGTAAATTTCGCACTACCCTGGTAACTTCTAGCTTATTATAGTTTAGTCGTGTAATATTCTATTTCATGTTCTAAAATACAAATTCTTTTCATTTCTACGTCATTATTTTTAGCTTTACTCATTTTACTCTTGATGTGTCCAGTTTTACGGTTGTTGTTACGTAACTTGTAACGTCGATTTTCATTTTCATTTTATGGAAACCTGTCTCTATATGTTTTAGAATTTTCATATTTGATTTATAGTTGTCATTATTTTATTAACCTTCATTAGTATGATATGATATAGTAGATTATTATGGCGAGGCCATGTTTTATGGACGGCGTTGAGCAACACCGAAGTGACCTTGAAAAGTAACTGTTTGCTAGGGTGGAAACAGGTTTGTAGATTAATTTAAGGAATTGAGAATAGGAGTTAGAGTTATAAGTTAGGGTTTTCATCACGAGCTAACATCTATAGTGTCAAAATGTTATTTAGCCATATCGATATATGAATTTCACTTGAAAATTGGAGTCTATCTTAAATCTGGTTGATTCGTCCATAAATTATGGTCCTGTCATAATTATTACTGTTGTTTCTAAATTGTGAACAGCTGAAGAGAAACTACGATATAAATGAACTTACCTTATCCGACTACGTTTATTGTTCTTACCTGAATCAAGTTTTATTTTTACTCACAAAAGTGAACATCAGATGAGTAACGAAAGCTAAAGGACGTTGGAAATACGTTTTAACACGTCTTAAGGTCAATATGATATCACGTAATGTCATTGAGTGAGATGACCGTGCGGACTACTATGCTTGAATCAATGACACTAATCCCCAAATAAATGACCTGATATTTTAATGTTGTTGCTATGTAGATTTCGTGTCCGCAAACTCAATCAGAATACGAAAGTGAATCAGCAGATGTAATCGTTGTATCTATGGCTAAGAAATTCACGTGATTAAATACATGAATTACCTGATTATAACTTATCTTAAGTAAGCAGTTAAATATATAATAAATATAGAATCTAAAATAAACATTCAGTTTAATAGTCTAATAAATAATTTACAGTAATTTGGAAGCGGAAAAGCTTTTGACAGTAGTTAATCAATCTATTGAGAGCTTTCAACTAAGGGGATATAAAAATTATATAGACTGTGTTCGTAAATACATATTAAAAGAATATGACTACTGGTATCCTGAACAACGCTAAGTTGGTCATTTTCTCTTATTCATTTCATTCCAAAATTGAGCTAAATCCCACTTTCCATATTTTTTTACTTCAATCAATTCAGCGGTTTAGTACGACAGTTTTAACTAATTGAACTCATCATTAATAGCTGAATACTGATATGAATATGTATTTCATAATGATGTGATTTAATATTATTGTCGTTATAAAAATAAATGGATTATCAACGTTTTCTTTTGGCTGTTATGTTCTTTGGATTTTTTGGTTGATTGTAAAGCTTGCATCGTCATACTGGATATCACTGTTTTCATGAAATTCCAATCGATTTCCTAAATTCGAATTAAACAGAGGAGGCGTAGACATTTGACAAGTTTCTAGTTGGTGTATATAGTTGACAACAAATATATCATCCACTGGTTAATAAACCCCATAAGTTGCCCCTGAAAAATGTTATAATTGAGGGGAACTCGTCTATTTTTGTAGATTTGTAATTGATTTCCACAAATCGATCTGAGTTCTGGTCAAATGATGATTACGTACGAGGGATTTTTTCGGACTTTCTTCTTTTATCCCTTGGAGGAGCATAGGCCGCTGACCAGGATTCTCCAACCTATTCTATATTATGTTCTCCTTTATGGTTGTTCGTAAGTGCTATTCATTCTTTCGATGTCTGCCTCTAATTTCCAAAGTAACATGTTCTTCCGCATTTCTCTTTCCCTTTCATTCACAATTCCGAAATAATGAATGATTGTTTTCTTTTATATAAGCACTAATTTGTTCGAAATCGGGAGTTGTTATTACATATTCAACACCTATTACTGTATTGTATTTCTTTCTCTTGTTCTCATTCCTACTATTAAAGAAAGTACTTTGTTTCGTAACCCGATTCGACGGCTTTGTATTACCCATATACCTGTTGGTGGCCATTTGGCTTTTCCAACCATCCAGTGACTAGGTTTATTTGATCACTGAATTTTAATCTAGTGAGTAAATGATAATGTAAACAAAATAACAGAGGCGAGTTGGGTGTCTCAAGTTTGAGATCGTATAGAGTTGATTGTATCTAGGTTTTGATAGTCCAATATTGTATGGTCTTCAGTAGTTTTTTAGTTACCGTTAATCTGTAGTACATAATATTGTAAAATTGATTTCATACAATAGATCAATTCCTTAATAGGTAGTGACTTGTGTTCAATCAAAATTTAATTATATTTAACCCAGTTGTCAATGTGAAAAAATCTAGAAAATTAGTGCATTGCTTATAGATCCTCACCATATTAAGACACTAATATATGAACGAAGAATATTATTTAGGGCAGGATACATTGTTTAAAATTATAGTATGCTATAATGGGGTAAATTCCAGAACGTTCATTAATGTGCCATACCTTTACTGTAACGAATTTTGATATGGTTTCTAGAACAATTCGCAAATTCGAATATATTGTAGTGTGCGCTACCGATTTCGACAGATGTAAGTAGTATGTATCACTAATCCAAAGTGGAATGCTTGACGATAGAATGTTAATAAGATCAAAGAAAAGAGAAAGAGAACAGAATGATTGGTGTGGAAACGAAGGAGCAATCAAGTCTGAGACGATTAATTGACATTTTGCAAATGAAGGATTTACTGTATGTTTCTCAGGTTTTACTAGATGATTCTGTAATTTTGTATTCAAATACATTTGGTTTTTCCCACTGGTGTTCTCGTTCACTACACTATCAATAAACCTTGAAATTTGTGTTCAAAGCTTCAATTAGAACTGAATATTACTTCATGCTCCTACAGTTCATGATTCATGAGCCTGGAAACTTTGAGTTGATTAGCAAATAATACGATACAATTTAAGAGTTTCTCTATTTGAGAGATAAGAGTGAAATAAGAGAATGTTGAAATAAAAATACTTTAAAAGAAATAGCTTTGAGACTGAAAAACGTTTTTCACCAACTAGACAAATATATTTCAAATTATAATTAAGGATGCTAGTAAATGTATTGATCAACTTGGCTAACCGACCAAAGATCAATCTCTTATGGTTAGTTGTACGAGGAAGCTTATTAAATCTGGAAATATTTGTTATTACATACTGATGTTATATAAAGAAGCACCGTAATCGAGAAAACATTGGAGAGTTGTTGTAGCCTAGATCGGGATTTCTCAGTCGTACTTCCTCACAACTTGGAACTTGGTCAAAATGAGTACATTCAGGTGTCGTTCTGAACGGAACCCATGTGGTTGGCTAGTTGAAATCCAATGGTTCAATTTAGGTTCAGTTTTAGTGTTGAGAAACAATTACTCAATGTCATTTATATTTAGATACTATCTTAGCAACCAATTTTTGGAAGTTTTAGCCTCCAGATTCCATTCTATTCACTTAACCTGAATATCCTGAGCTTAATTCTTTGTGAGATCATATGTGTACACTTTTGAGAGTCCCTGAACCTTAACGAAAGGGTTGTCCAGTTCGTTCCGTTTTCTTGAAGAGGTATCTACTCGACATCATTTCAGGATGAAACTATTTTGTTACTTCAGGTTCTATTCTAAGGATATTAATATACCTCATGCATATGAATGACTTTCTGATCATTGCGATTCTTTCTACCAACATTAGCAATATATAAATTTAACTGGACATAAATACCCTAACCATTAAAAAAAATCAACGTTTATTAAATTATTTAATTCAGTGGTTAACATCCATTAGTTCTGCCAAAAGTATCTCCACGGTCAGTTTGTATGTAGCTGTTATAACTTTCGAGAATGATCCAAAATGTCTACATTCGTTGCCTACCTAAAATTACTCAAAAGTTATAATTATTCCCCAGTTAGAAAACATTATAGTGTCATTCATTTGCTAGTAGGCGTTTTAAGATACTTCATATCTTACATAGAATCCTAATTAGCGTCTTCACGGTTAATTCATCTGACTTTCAACCACTAATTCCCTGATTCTAAGTCTGCTCCACTTACTTTGGTACAGGAAAACCAGGTGGCATCGTTAGTTTTCATACTTATGGTGTCTCTCATACCCATGCACCTGGTTAGTAAGTTCATTTAATTTAGTTTATAATTTTAGTGGCTATATTCATATGTTCACTAAAATTTAAAAAGTTTTAGTTCATTCTGGATGTGAGAACTGGGGTTCCCCCTAGTTTAGGACTGTTCAGCTATGGGATACCACCAGTGATGTAATTGCACTTCAGTTTCTTGAGAATGGTTTCTCCAAAAGAATATGACTTTTTGATATACACTGTCAGTAACTTAATGATTCGTATTCGGATGATTTATCAAATAGCATAAAAAGCTAAAGTTTAGAGATTTATAGGAAAATGTGTTTTTGATTACAAGGAAGTTTTGAAACAATTAAGCATAAGATTCAAGCTGAAATTGAAAGACCCCAAAATAAATAGTCAGTTTCAGGATAAAGAAATAAACGTACATTTTTATGTATTATGTTGATTGCTCAAATGTACATTTTTACAAACATATTCACAAATACATTAACTTGTAGTGACTCACGTTTATCACGAGAACACGACTGGTTTAATAAAAACAATTATTATTACAACCAACTGTACCAGTGTTTGTTTTAATGTGCTTTTGTTTGACTGTGCTAATGACAGCTATTTTCTGCTTCCATTCTTTCGCTTACACTTTGATTGTAACTTCGCGCGAATTCGGTTACCTTCTGTAACCAAGATTGTATCCTGGCACGATCTCGGTATCCTTTCGATGCCACGAGATCGCCAGCTAATAAACCTCGACTTGGTCCATTAACTGTCTTCTGATATTCGGCTTCTCGGGGATTTTGTGGAGTCATTTGGAACGAGCTTCTTAAGCCTTCTGATTTATCTGGCACGTGTTTCCTGGTAGCGGTGTTCACAGTTGATCTCAACTCGACGCCACGCTACAAACTTAAGACAATTAACCTAGAACCCAACTGTCAACATAGCAAATTTCAGTCAATTCATAGTATAATTTGATGACTATCTACTATCATTGATCATACTTATTTCAATCTCGATAAGGATACACTTCACCACTCACAACTAATCAGACATATTAGTTCGTGAAGAGAACTATTCACATCAACCAATAACTAGGTTTCTTCCAATACTAGATACATGTTACGTATTTCTACTAGTTAATACATTATTATAATTTTCTTAAATGTAGAAATATTCGCAATTTGATTCAGTTTACATATCTAATAATTTGCTTGATCCTACTGAATTCAAATACAAAGAAAATTTTAACTGGAATATCCTAAAAGCACAATTACTTTATTGAAATGATCGTCATTTAATCTATAAATTCATAGTATAGTTAAAATTATTCCTAATGTGGATAGTGATCTTACAAAATGGTTGAATTTCTATTTCTTATCACAAGACAATCTAATTTTTATAGTTCACACCAGGTATTGATTGATCTTAGACAATTATTGAAATCGAGGGAACACTGGGCAACTGTTTCGTCCTAGTATGAGACCCCTCAGCAACGTGCATTTATTTTCAAATATCATATGCTAAACAAATATAGGATAGACAGATGATCTAGATTTCTGTACTGTATAGTATATAAGTTAGATTAGTATGTTTTGCTGATTATCCAATTTCCGAACTGTAAACTCTTGTCTTTCACATTTATAATGTAATACCTAGATTTCTGGATTATAAAGAACTGCTCATTCTTACATTTCAATGTTTTTAAATCAGTATGATTGACCTCTCCTTTTTTTGTTCGGCTATTTCACGGTCACCCCTGAAAATCAGTATTCTCAGAATGAAGTATAACGATGAAGAAGAGTATGTTTTGTCTAAAGAAAAATTTCTCATTTCTCCTATTTAAAATAAAGAGGAATTACGGAGAATTGAGTTAATAGCGGTGAAGTAGACAATTACATGGTGAAGTAACAATTAGGAAAATAGGAACTAGACGAAAACAGTATGAACTTAGCTTTATGAAGTTCGATTTTAATGGATTAATTAAGAATTTTTGATTGTAAACTTTGGATATTGAAGACTGGCTTTTTTAATGCAAATGCTAGAACAAAATCCAGGTGTTCAGAACTTCCTGTTTATTGAATCTAACCGCCCAGAACCAAACAAAATGCACTGTGATACTGAATCATTTAGCCTTGTTGTTTGTATTGATATGGAACTTGATCAGTACTAAGAAATAAATAACATGATATTGGTTATTATCCAGTGATCGATGAGTGTCATTTATTCTCTATAGTATGCTATTCTCCCTTGTTTCAAGGTTTCATCAGTCACTCAAGAAGCAACTACCAACCATGTGATCATAATAATCATTCCACTTTTCCAAAATTGATTTATCTGTGAAAGGATTATCAGAGCTAAATGAACGTTTTGATTTTCACCAGATTCGAGTCAACTTGCTTCAATAGAGGCGAATTTCTATCTAGTAACTCAGTCATTGAAATAAGATTGACTCAACCGCTGAACCACGTTATAAGCCATATTGAAGACGTATTGTTGGCCTTTATAACGATAGATACCACCTAGTATGAGTCACAATCTCGGTTATTACATTATTCGATACACTTATAAGTTTATCACTCGTATACAATACAATAGTAAATATTCACCAATACTTGTGACACATTGACTAATTCAATGCTGTCAATCATATACAGGTCTTTAGTGGCCCGATATCTTACTCCAGTTAAATCATATGCTGATTGTTATCGAGATATACATGCCACCAATCCTCGTATACAACTATCGACTTAAGTCGCGTCATAGAATAATGAAATAAAATAAGCCGAATACGAGAATGAATTTCGAATACATGTATTTCATACACATTGATCCAGACAAACAAGCACAGAAGCATAGTGAAGGAAGCGAAACGGAGAAGGCAAGTGAACCAACTCTTTTTAATCAAGCGTGACTCAATATTTATATTCAGAGAAAAACAAGTTACAGATACATGATGAATAGGGTAAGTAACTAACACACATACGATCATGTGAAAAAAAACACAGTAGGATCAATAAGATAATAATCAACAAGTTCAAAATGTGGCTTGAATGGAATGAATAAATTGGTCTGTTCAGAAGCTAGAATAACCTATGTGTACCAACCACTACGAGTCGACAATATTACACTTCTTTTGAACATGTATATCCATTCTAATTTTACACACCATTTTTTGTACATCAAACAATTATAACCAGTAACAAACAAATAAACAGACTTTTAACTGATTGACCATCAAAGGTGCCATAATTTACCGGAAATTTGCCCCAAATATCCTGGTAAAGTTGAGGGAAGGAAGTGTCCGTCCTACCTCTCGAAGTGTTTTCATATGACCTCACGTATACGGCCACTACAAGGGGAGTCGAAATTACTGTTTTCTCATAGCGCGGTAGTTGTTTATAAAATTAAGAAAATGATAAACCGAATTGGCAAGTAAGAAGGATCCTCTTAGGGGAGTTGGGAAACCGTGATTTCAAATCAATATTGCACATGGACTCCAGGATCCTGAAGGAATAAATGGTGTACGAACATATAATTGGTTAACGACCAATATCGGGCTGCATCTCCTAATGTTGCTCCACTGCCTTATTGATTAAACCTCTAGGCCAAAGTCTCGGAAAATGGACCTCTGGGAAAACTACCTGTTTCGGCTTAGGCAACCATAAAGTACCTTATCACACACACACAAACTCAATAATTTATGTGGCACATAAATATTTGGGTACCCTTCTGTATCAATGTTTATATATTTAAACAATAGTAATAATAATGATAATAATAATAATAATAACTAATCCTTCCAACAACAATTACGAAAAGTATCATCCATAATGAAGCAACTATCGATCAGTTACAAACTGAAATATCTTTCCTATATTTCCCCTAACAAAATAAATAAAGAAAAAAGAGAAAAAGAAAGAAAAAAAGAAAAAAACAACGAATATCAAACAAGGAAACCAAAAAAAAGAAGAAAAACATGGATATATTTTAAAAGTATCATATTATTATGCCTTGATATGTTCTTTTTTTTAAAAAAAATCAATAATTAAAATGGAGGAAAGTTTTATTTGTTTGAATGAATGTGTGTATTGATTTTTTTTAAAAAAAGTAGTTAATTCAATGTTCAATTCATTAATTATGTTGATTGGAATAGAATAAATGAGCTGATAAATTATTAGTCATATTATTAATATTTGTATTTGTTAAAAGAGGATGTTGTAATTGAGATTGAATTCGTTGTTGAACTTGTTGTTGTTGTTGATGATGATGCTGAATTTGATGATGTTGAAGTTGTTGTTTATTTGATAAAATTGATTGTGGAAATGGATAATGAATTTGTTGAAGAACTGGTATAGTTACTGTGACTGGTATTGGTGGTACATTACTATTATTATTGTTATTAGTAGTAGTAATAGAAGTATTATTATAATCAAATTGTTGATTACTAGATGATGAAGAACATGTAGCATTGATTGATTTATCTATACCACTTAAATGTATTCTTCTATGTGCATAAAGATAACTTTTACTTGTAAAACTTTTTTCACATCCTGGATAATCACAAACATATGGACGTTCACCTAAATGTACATTCATATGTTCAGTTAAACTACGTGAATATAAAAATGTTTTACCACAACCTGCATGTATACAATGATATTGACGACGTTGATTTTTATCTAAATGTACACGTTTATGTGCGAATAAATTACATCGTCTAGCAAAACGATGCGTACATCCTGGATAATCACAAATAAATGGTCTTTCACCAGTATGTATACGTATATGTTCTATAAGACATTCACGTGTAACAAATACTTTATTACATCCTGGTAATGTACATGAGAAACGTTCACGTAATTGTTTTGGTTCATGTAATTGTATATGTGTTTTTAATAAAGCCTCATTACAAAATGTTAAACCACAATTAGGATATGTACATTTGTATGGTTTTTCAATTGCATGACTTTGTTTATGATATATAAGACTTGTTCGACTGAAAAACACTTTACCACAACCACGATAAGTACAAGGATGACGTTTTAAATAATCCACTGTAGCAATACGTGCTAAATTAGATTGATGATTTTGTTGGCATTGATATTGATCATTGATTTGATTACTTACAAAGTTATTAGCATGTGTAGAATAGTCATTCTTATTATTACTAGTATCTCCACGATCAATGCTCAATTCTAGTGGATATCCCACTTCTGATTCTTCTTTAATCTTCATTATTTCTGAGAGAGTGTTACAATTTTCTGAAGAGCTTGTAAACAAAGAAATCGTCGAAGATATGGAAAGAGAAGATGATGATGAAACAGCTATAGTACCAGGATGGGGAGGGTGAAGCGGAGCGGTGAATGCATCTTGATTATTCAGTTGTAAAGTGGGCATTTGGTCAGGTGATAGACCACTTAGATTATCTAAATCCATTCGCATTTTTTTCTGTAACTCTGATTGACCTTGTGTAGTAGTAAGTCCTTCATTTTGTGGAAAAATCGATGAATTACTATTACTGTATGTATTTTGCGCATCATTCTCGATATCTTCTTGATCCTTTTGCTTTACTAACGAATTTTTCTGGCTGTCTGCAATTTTCGAAGTGATTATAGCCATTTCAAAAAATCGACATGATAGTTGATTTAACAGTTCTGCGACTGCAGCGTTCACTAACCCAGCAGCAATAAAAGGTAGTCGAATAGATGAAGTGTGTATTATGTAATCATCATCAACATTGTTCGAAATTAATGTTGAATCATTCTTGTTGCAATTTGAAGTGTCCGGATTCCCTTGAGGATAAGGGGTCATTCTGTTCTTCCTTTTAGGTAATTCTAGCAATCCATAAAAATCAATCACTTGTCTTATTTGTATCAATAGTTAGGTCCATATAATTGTTGATGGTGTTGGGGTATTCTTATGCAGACAGTGAAATTTAAATTATAGCTATTGATTTATTTTCTATGGTCCATTATTGACGTCGACCAATCAATTCAAAGGCAGTCTGTTATGTTAGTCTATTGATGGTTGATGCCTGGGTGTGTTGAATGGTCGGTTGTTTGTTTTGGTTGTGTCTAACCTATCCATGGTATTGGGGCTAGAGGTTTTTAAACCAAACACTTATCGGACTAACCAAGCCGTCAACCAACCAACCAACCAACCAGCAAAACTGAACAACCACTAACATACATATGCACACGAATATGAAACACATACATACAAGCAAATTATAAACAACAACGACAAAGTGGCATGAGAAAAAAACCAGCAGAGGAAATTTGTTTTCCAGTCTAGCTTCATACTATCGTCATCCAGTTCACATGACTCCACTCTATAAAATAAAAACTTGCAAACATACTAAGGGATTTGTTGTTGTTGATGTTATTACTATTATTAGAATTATCGTTCTAGTTTTTTCTGTTATAAGTTGGATCGTTTAGCCTAAGCAAATGTATCAGTTTTGATTGACTCTATGGTGGAATTAACTCGAAGTATTACTTACTTACTTACGCCTGTTACTCCCGATGGAGCATAGGCCGCCGACCAGCATTCTCCAATCCACTCTGTCCTGGGCCTTCTTTTCTAGCTCGAAGTATAATTACTTAATAATGAGTATAATGGTATTACAGAAACAGTTTCCACCAATCTTCCCTATACTAATTGACCCAGATCAATCCAACGATTGCCATAATCCCTTATAGTAACTAATAGTCGTGTACAAGCTGAGAGGAAATTCCTGGAATTCTAATGAGAACCTGTGACCAGTGGAGTCCAACCAAGTCGGATATAAGACAGTTATCCACCACAGTCAATGAAAGATGGTCGTGCAATATCGTGGGTTGATTGAAGTTAGGCATTAACACTGTTAGATGCCGGCTTACTGGTCTAGAGGTTGAGCGTTCGTGCACGAGATTAAAGTTCCTGGGTTTGGTCAAATCGTGGATTCACTCTACGAAGAAGTCTTATAATAGGACAAACAACTATCTAATACTTCTTGTTTAGTAATTATTATTAATAAAAATTACAGATAACATTAATGGGACGTACCCTTTTTTCATACTGATTATTATTCAAATCTCTCTGTCAAACAAAATATTTACAGAATTAGACAATTTTTAACAGTGAGAGTAACATCTACCTTCTCTATGTAGAATAAAGTCATCGACATTTGGTTACTGGTCAAGAACACGTCACAACTCAGTAGTTGAATCATTGTCCGATGGTTTGCCTATTTTTTCGACTTGTGACAAACAGATATCAGGTTTGACCATTATTGGAATTAATCAGTACATTTTGGAACGCATTTCTGAAACAGATCATTAACAAAATAGTTTCGTAGTAGTTTAGTGGCTTGGGATCTGACTCCAATTACATTGTATGAATGTCTGTTATTGAATGATTGCTGTCGAAATATGTATGTCACCTATCCTCGTATATCTCATCGACTTAAATCGCGTTAGTCAATAACTGAATTAAATAAGTCAAATAACGAGAATGAATTCTGAATACGTATATTTCATACAATCTTTGATTCAGACAAAATATCGGAGATCCCAAGAGAAGAGAGCGAAGTGAAACAATGCACAGTGGGAAAGGCATGTGAGCCAATTCCATTTAGTCAAGTGTTAATCAATATTTATAGTCACATAAAATTAAGCTACATACATGTGATGAATAGGATAAGAAGGGCACACACATATATTCGCTCATATAAAAACAGCCAAGATTGATAAGAGAATAATTAACAGGGTCAAAATATGATTCAAGTAGAATGAATAGATTAGCCTGTCCGAAAGCTAGAATAAGGTATATAGGCTTAACATAATAACCAACACTACAGTGATATAATCTACATCAATTGATCACTGAGTAGTAATCGAAGTTATGTTTGTCTAGTATTTAGTGCTCATCGAATTCCATCGACCAAGTTATATTGTTACGACTGGTCTAAATGACTCGATATCGCGTGCATTATGCTTGATGTAAAGTGATTCAACGTAGTCGACAGAACATCTCTGAACCTAGGTTTTGTGGCAGTTGGAAATCGTTATTAAGGCGTACCTGAAATACAGAGGGAGATGTTCTCTGGTCAAATTGAACATACGTTACCAACAATGTAAATATCTCATTCCTGCAAGAGGTCAGTCTCTAACTGGATAACTGAATGGTAGTACCTCAGACTATTAAACTGAATGGTGTGGCTTCGAGTCCCATTGGGACAATTAATTACCTTACGATTTCAGTAATATAGTCTACTTAAAGATTGATTCTATTGATGATCTGTATTGGTGTTAAGCCTCATAACTGAACTGAAACGATTATTTAGCACTCTTTAGTTTTTGTCCCACTAGTGAATTCCACATTGGGGTTCAAGCAGTATCCATGACTAATGTTTGGATATATTTGGTAGTAAGAGACCAAATCATTCTCACTGATACAAGTGCATTTACATTTTTTATCTTTTTTTGTAAATAATAAATTATGTATCATTCTTAGCTCATCATTATTTCAATTACATTTCGACTTTTAAAAATAAATCAAGAACAATAGATCTAACAGAATGCGGTATCGTTTCTAGATTGTAATCAACCAACGAGAATCAATTAAGTAGATAATTTCATCTTATTCTCCTACTTTTATTGTTTCAACTTTATTTAAACTTACCAATCACAAAAGATAATTGTATAAAATACCTACTTCCTTTGAATTAAAGAGGAAGAATGTTGTATTTAACTCTGCCTGGAGTCCCTCCGGGGGCTACTGCCGGTCCCAAGCCCGGACAAAGGAGGAGGGTTGGGCATGGGGTTAGCGTCCCCATCCCGTAGAAAACTAACTCGCTAAAAAAACGCTAACCAGAAAAAATTATTCAAACCTTTTAAACTCTGCCCTGGGAGTCAGAAGGTCTTCATTTAGAAGAATTATGACGCTTCATGATGAAAGCCGAATTCCTTCGGAAGTTACGAGGCCGATGCCCCTTCTGACAACCAGAGCGACCATTTATTTAGGTACATGGAATGTTCGTACAATGTGGGACACCGGAAGAGCCTTTCAAATTGCTGCAGAAATGAGAAGATACAACCTAGAGGTACTTGGGATCAGTGAAACACATTGGACACAAGTTGGACAACAACGACTAACTACAGGATAGCTCTTGTTATACTCCGGCCATGAAGAAGAAAATGCACCACATACACAAGGAGTTGCATTGATGCTGTCCAAACAAGCGCAAAATGCACTTATAGGATGGGAATCTCATGGACCAAGGATCATCAAAGCCTCCTTCAAAACAAAGAAAGAGGGCATTTCAATGAACATCATCCAATGCTATGCGCCTACCAACGACTACAATGAAGACGCTAAAGATCAATTCTACAATAGGCTGTAGTCAATCATCGAGAAGTGCCCAACAAAGGACCTGACCATTCTGATGGGAGATTTCAACGCCAAGGTTGGAACGGACAACACTGGATATGAAGACATCATGGGACGACACGGACTTGGAGAAAGAAACGAAAATGGTGATAGATTTGCAAATCTATGTGCCTTCAATAAGCTGGTCATAGGCGGCACCATATTCCCACATAAACGCATACACAAAACCACATGGACTTCACCGGATCACTCTACACAAAACCAAATCGACCATATTTGCATCAACAAAACGTTCAGGAGGACTATAGAAGACGTGAGAACCAAGAGAGGAGCTGATATAGCATCAGATCATCACTTACTGGTCGCCAAGATGAAATTGAAACTCAAGAAGCACTGGACAACGGGGCAGACACTATCACGAAAGTTCAATACGGCCTTTCTCCAGGATACTAACAAACTCAACAAATTCAAGATAGACCTCAGCAAAAAGTTCCAGGCCTTTCATGACCTACTCAATGGAGAAGGAACTACTATGGAGAGCAACTGGAAGGGGATTGAAGAAGCAATCACTTCAACATGTCATGAGGTCCTGGGTCACAAGAAGCACCACCACAAGGAATGGATCACTGTTGATACACTGGATAAGATTCAAGAAAGAAGGAACAAGAAGGCAGCGATCAATACCAGCCGAACAAGAGCAGAAAAAGCCAAGGCACAAGCTGAATACACGGAAATAAACAAACAAGTGAAGAGGAGCATCAGAACCGACAAACGTAAATATGTGGAAGATTTAGCAACGACGGCGGAAAAGGCTGCAAGAGAAGGAAACATGAGACAATTGTATGACACGACAAAGAAACTCTCTGGAAATCGCCGCAAACCAGAACGACCAGTGAAAAGCAAGGAAGGCAAGGTAATCACCCACATTGAGGAGCAACAAAACAGGTGGATAGAACACTTCAAAGAACTGTTGAATCGACCAGCTCCACTGAACCCACCCAATATCGAAGCAGCACCCACGGACCTCCCAATCAATGTTGGCCCACCAACAACTGAAGAAATCAGCATGGCCATCAGACAAATCAAGAGTGGCAAAGCAGCGGGACCGGACAACATCCCAGCAGAGGCACTAAAGGCAGACGTAGCGGCAGCTGCAAGGATACTCCACATTTTCTTCAACAAGATTTGGGATGAGGAACAAGTACCAAGAGACTGGAAAGAAGGACTTCTAATCAAAATACCAAAGAAAGGCGATCTCAGCAAGTGTGATAACTACAGGGGCATCACTCTTCTCTCAATACCGGGAAAGGTCTTCAACAGGGTATTGGTAAACAGGATGAAGGACTGCGGAGACGCCCAACTTCGTGACCAACAGGCAGGATTCCGTAAGGATAGATCGTGTACAGACCAAATCGCAACTCTACGGATCATTGTGGAAC